AGGTAGATAGATAGATAGATGGATAGATAGATAGATAGATAGATAGATAGATAGGTAGATAGGTAGATAGGTAGATAGACAGATAGATAGATAGATAGATAGATAGATAGATAGATAGATAGATAGACAGATAGGCAGATAGACAGATAGATAGATAGATAGGCAGATAGACAGATAGACTGATAGATAGATAGATAGATAGATAGATAGATAGATAGACAGATAGGCAGATAGACAGATAGATAGATAGATAGGCAGATAGACAGATAGACTGATAGATAGATAGATAGATAGATAGATAGATCGGTAGATAGATAGATAGATAGATAGATAGACGGGTAGATAAATAGATAGATAGATAGATAGATAGATAGATAGAGAGAGAGATAGATAGATAGATAGATAGATAGATAGATAGATAGATAGGCAGATAGACAGATAGCTAGATAGATAGATAGACAGATAGATAGATAGATAGATAGATAGATAAACAGACAGATGGAAAGAAAGAAATAAATATAGACAGATAGATAGGGGGTGTTACATGATTTGTTAAAAGGGTTTATAAGACATTCTACGGTTTATACACCCCAACCCGATAAAAGAACAACACAAAGCCCCATACAAGTATGTTATTTTCCGTACTTTTGTATAAGGGTATTGGACTCTCCGGGACTTGGTCTGGCTTCCTTGAGACTGCAGAGTTGAAGGGTGTTCTGCGCGCTTTATGGGGTTCAGGGTTTAAGGTTTAGGGTTTAAGGGGTGGGCGCTTGAACACGGAACTCAGAGTTAAGTTGCGCTGCTTCGTATAAGCTTGCTGAGAACTGCCAGAACCGTCTAATGAAGGAATAACCATTAGACGCCAAATCTTGAAACGCCGGACTCTCAACCCCCAAGCCTAACCCCAGAGGACCCTGATAAAATCACATGGCAACCCCCATGGAGATGACATGTCAAAGCCTTGAAAACGCCCGGCTTTCCTCAACAAAAACGCTCGAACGAAACATTAAAAAAAAAGCCCCTGCAAAGCAGTGCAAATCCCTCAAGAACAAAACTCCACCACCCCCTTCACTCTAATCCCTTTACCCTCTAAACTGGAACCCGACAGTTCTCATTATCGAGCACTTATAGACCCTTTACAGGAACCCTCTTACAGTACCGCAGGGTTTAGGGTTTAGGGGGGCTTTTTGCAACACCCCCATAGACCGTCTAAAGCCCTCAAAACGCTCGCACGCCCCAGATAAACCCTCAGAAACCTCTCAAGAACTCTCGACCCTAAACCCTAAACCCTAAACCCTAAACCCTAAACCCCTAAACCCCTAAACCCCTAAACCCCTAAACCCTAAACCCCGAAGCCTCCCTCCACCTAAAGGCCCCAAACCCCAAAGCCTAGAACCCGAAACCGTAAATCCTACACCCTTAACTAAGCCCAGTGGATCCCTAAAACCCTAGAGGTTAAACCCTAAACCCTTTGCCCCAAGCCCTAAACCCCTAAACCCTAAACCCCCCTAAAAGGAACCCCCCAAAACCCTAAACCCGAAGCCCCAAACCCCGAAAGGGGGTCCCCCGCAGTGTCGGTGATGACGTCAATGGGCCCCTTCGAGGAGACGCTGCTGTCGAGCTCCTGACCCGGAGCTCACCCAGAGACTCCAAAACCCCTTAATTAAGGAATATACCTTAAATCATATTAGGATTCCAATTATAGTTTAAGGTATATTCCTTAATTAGGGGGTTTTGGAGTCTCTGGGCAGTTCCGGCCAAGGAAACAGTCTTAGGGGCTTGGGGTTTAGAGGTTTAGGGGTTTAAGGGTTTAGGAGTTTAGGGTTTAGGGGCTTCGGGTTTAGAGGTTTACGGGTTTAGGGGTTTAGGGTTACAGGGTTTAGGAGTTTAGGGTTTAAAGGCTTATAAGGGTTAGGGTGTTATCATATAGATGTTAGGGTTCTAGTATGGCCTTTTAGCGCCTTTAACCACCACAGGGCTCTCAAAGTGTCGGGCCTTGGGTTTATAGATTTTGTGGCTTTGCAGGGTTTTGTTTTAGTGTTATGGGGGTCTAACATGTTCTAATCTGACGGCTCCAAAAAGGGCTTCCCCCGCTATGAAGCTTAAAGGTTGCATAAGGGCAGCTGGAGTGGTTTAGGGTTTAGGGTTTAGGGTTTAGGGTTTTGCTTCTTTCGGTCTTTCTCAAGGGTAGCGGCTGTCTCCAGAGCCTTCTGATTCTGGTGGTTTAGGGTTCGATTGTTCAACAGAGTTCTTTCGGTGGTTAAGAGAACAACGCCTATTGGAGAGGTCGATCCTCCTTGTCTTACGGCACCCCAAATTAAGGACTCCTAAGGCGGATGATTTCGACCTCTCTATCCACCTCAAACTCCCATAAGCCTACCGTTTTCTCGGTCATCACCATCGGCCATCGAGGCCTCGACGGGCCCCTACAAGACTCCAGCAAATCCACTTTTCTTGGCTACTGACCATAAACCCTAAACCCCAAACCCTAAACCCTAAACCCAAAGCTGAATCCTAAAACCCGAAGCCCTCACCTGGGTGACTGCTCGCGAGGGGTTTAGGGTTTAGGGTCTAACTTAGGGGGTCTATGGCCTGAAATTAATGTAGGGGCCTAAATAATACCAATACTATTTTGGGCGGGCTCCTTATTAAAAGTATAAATATAGTAGAATGGGCTCCAAAACCCTATTCTAAGTCTCAAGGCCCCTATATGAAATTGAGGGTTCAAGATTGTGGGCTTCGGGTTGAGTCTCTGGGCCGAGGGCTTCGGTTTTTACCGAAACCCGGAACCCGTGCTCCGGTCCTGTAAGGTTTAGGGTTTAGGGCTTAGGGTTAGGGTTAGGGTTTAGGGTTTAGGGCTTAGGGTTTAGGGTTTTTGGGGTTTAGGGTTTAGGGTTTAGGGTGTCCTTTACGCGTTGGCTCTTTCGCTTGTTGGCGGCCCGCTGCGCGAGCTCCTGGCGGAGGTCCACTCCACCTGTGTGGTCTTTTGATCGGATTTGGGATTCAGGGCTTCTGTCTCTTACCCGGCTTAGGAGTTAAACCTTGTGCTTCTCCGTAGGGCTTAGGTTTGAAGGCTTAAGAGCTACCCATAGGCCCTAAAGTAGTTCCTTTTTGGGGTTGCCTTATAGGATTCTATATATGAACCCCCAAGAAATAACTACTTTAGGACCAATGGGTAGACCTACTGTTGATGATATAAATCCTGCATTATCCTCAATAAGGCATACACCACAATTCCCATAGTTTAGGGTCCTTAAGGTAACCCTAAACCGTACCCTAAACCCTAAACCCTAAACCCTAAACCCCTAAACCCTAAACCCTAAACCCTAAACCCTAAACCCTAAACCCTAAACCGGATTTATACCATCAACGGTATCCCAGAACCACAGCCTTTCATGAAGCTTTCAGGACGTTGCATTCGCCGGTCCCCGAAGTGTGGCAGACATGCGGAACTACTGTTGATGGACAAAATTCTGCATGACCCAAATATAGCATGGTACCAGAAATCCCAAAGTTTAGGTATATAAGGCCATGCAGGATTTTGTCCATCAGCCGTATGGATTACAAAGCTCGCTGATAGGTTCATCGAGATCATCGCGAACCGCGCCCCTAAACCCTAAACCCTAAACCCTAAACCCTAAACCCTACTGTTCTTGAAGGCGCCAAACCTCGCATTCTGGTGTGTGTGAACTGTGGGTTCCTCAAGGTTCAAGGTCTGAGGTTGGGGGGGAGAAGACGATTAGGGTTTAAGGTTTAGGGTTTAGGGTTTAGGGTTTAGGGTTTAGGGTGTAAGGTTTAGGGTTTAGAGTTTTGGGTTTAAAAGTTTAGGGTTTCGGGTTTATCTGGTACTTGGATCCTTGAAAATGGCGAGCTCATTGGTAGTTGCACGTGGGGTTGTAAGCATCCTAGTTGGAATGACAAAGCCTTCGAACCCTAGAGCCCACACCCTAGACCCAGGCCCAAACCCAAACATCGAGATCCCCAACCCTAAACCAAACGTGAAAACCATTAAAATAGAAATAATACCTCGACTGTAGACTCCAAGTTCGCACCCCGAAGCTCCACCAAAAATCAAAGCCAAACGAGGCGTAGAGGCAAAACTCAGTATCTCATAGGTTTAGGGTCGAGTTAACGCCGTAGACTCTGGAAGTCGACAAAAGCCCCAAAAGCACCCTGATGAAGCCAGACTTCAAAGCCTAAAAGCTTGATAAAACTTGTAGGCCCTACAGGACCCTACACAAACAGCATAACAAACGCCACTCCAAAGCAGTATGAATCTCTGAACCCTATACACACCCCAGATCATCCTGCCAACCCTCCTAAACCCTCACCCCGAAACCCTAAACCCTAAACTTTATGATCTTCGGTAGTTTGGAAGTCTCCACCCAGACCCCCAAAAGGATCTAAAAATAGATCCCCTAATTAGGGACCCTAACTACTCAAGGGTACTTTACAGGAACCCCCCTTAGGGAATCTATTTTTTTAGATCCTTTTGGGGGTCTGGGCTAAAACCCTAAACCCCAAACCCTAAATCCTAAACCCTAAACCCCAAACCCTAAATCCTAAACCCTAAACCCCAAACCCTAAATCCTAAACCCTAAACCCTGAACCTTAGATAGTTTGGAAGTCTCCAGGCATGCCGCCGTCTGTTGCCACGTGGGAGGTCTGCTTGCCCTGAGACTCGGCGGGTCGATCCGAGCTCCAATCTTTCCTGAGGTCCGCAGTTAGGGTTTAGGGTTTACCGGGTTTAGGGTTTAGGGTTTAGGGTTTTGGGTTTAGGTTTTAGGGCTTAGGGTTTTTAGGGTTTACCATGGTTTACCCATAGGCTCCATTGTAGTTCCTTTTACGGGTTACCTTATAGGATCCTAAAAATATAAACCACAAAGAGGAACTACAATGGAGCCTATGGGTAGCATGTAGGGTTTGGTTGGGTTCTAGGGTTGAGGGAAGTTTCTGCGGCTTACTGGCGTTTCAATTCGAGCGCTCCGTCTCTGCTCTCTTAATTTAATTCCCACAGGGTCCGTCTAGGGTTTAGGGTTTAGGGGTTTAGGGTTTAGGGGTCCGAGTACCCAAATAATAAGGAGGTTCTATGTCCCGAAATCCATACTCTGAATGGTTTTTGGACCTTGAAACCCTACTATTTGGGTACTTGGACCCTCAGGGATTGGGTTCATGGGTTTCGTGTTCAGGGGTCACTGAAGAGAATTCTCAGAAGCAGACCTATACAAGCCCCTACATTTCGGAAGCCGTTACTTCTATGGCCTCATAATTACAGGGCACAGGCCTTAAAGCAATAGCACTGATCCACATGTAACATAGACGCCTTAATGGCTGGAATAGGGTTTGGGGGTTACATTCCCCAAGGAAGCATGTGCTCATATAGTATATACTGGGGCCTTGATGCAGTCCCTAAGCAGGTACTTTATAAGGGCTCAAGTATATACGGTATGGGCACATGAACTTTAAGGGCTTACCGCATTACTACTGACACATCTTCCACAACGAGCTGCTTGTCGCTCTGCCGGTGGTGCTTCTGTAGGACTCGGCGAAGGATGCTGTGCCTGAGCTGCTCAACTTGGGACGTATTAAACGGGGGTGATAATCAGAAGAGGGCTTGGGGTATAATTACCATAGCACAACTATAATAAGGAACCCGAGGGTAGAAAGAATACTAGTAATTATTCAAGCCAATTTTTAGACTCTAGGGAGTTGGGGTCGATGTGAAGGAATCCTCACTGCGCAAACCCTAAACGGAAAACCCTCTTAGAGTAAGCACGTCATTACTGTTCAGACCCATAGCCCAAACCTCAAACCCTACAGTAAAAGCCAACCAGTCGGAACATCAATATCCTCATGTCCTAAAGGTAGAGCAGAGGTAATCCCAGCAATACCCATCCTAAATCCATGTTCCAGCTTTCTTGGGTTCACTATAAGCTTAAACTCTAAGCCCAGGTAACGTAGACAGCTGAGTCACAACTTGCCTGTTCTTAAACCGATCTAGGATATATGGTTTGTATTGATCGGGCCCTATAAACCCGAAACCCTAAACAGTGAATAATCGATGATTTAGGGAGTAGAATGTAGGGTTTCTAGATCAGGAGTTACTACTATGATTTAGGGAAGTATCCCCCCTTATCAGTACATAAGACCCTTTTGGCTTAGTGGCTTCTTGTTCCTTAAGCCTTATAAGGGTTTAGGACTTAGGGATTTTTCCCGAGGGCCTAAAGTTTAGGGCTTCGGGCTTAGGGTTTGGTGTGTAGGGTTTAGGGCTAGGAATGACGTGACAGTGCCGTACAGTACCCATAAAGCAGCAAGCTACCTGGTAACTGAGCTTCTATTGGGTGTGACAGAGATTCTGATGCGAACTCAGGCCCAAAAAGCAAAGGTGCGGGGTCGCGGTAGGGCTGCAAGCCGCCAATTCGAAGAAATTAAGGGAACTCGGTCATCACGATACTTTTCAAGAGAGTTCGAAGAAATTGATTCAGCGGCTTGTAACGCAAATGTAGGACCCCGACAAACTCGACAACTACTTTCAAACCCTGTTGATGTAGTAAGTCTGCTTGTCAGCCTTATAAGAACACGGTAAACCATCTTACCAACCATATTTTATGTCCAAAGAGCAACCAACTTCAAGCCCCGAAAAGCCCATAGCCGCTTCAAGATTGTAAAGCCTATCGCCATAGTCATAGACCCCCATCACAGCACAAAGCTGCATGAAGTGATGATACAACCTCTATGCACCGTATAAGAGCCTATCATATCGAACCTTACTATAAATGCCCAAGATTCATCGGGCATACCCCCGGGTCGCTCTCTCAGTTCGGCTGGAGCCACGCTCCCTCGTTCATGCGCTGCTTTCGCTGCTGCCGCCGCTCTTCAGTCTTCTCGAGCCAGGCCTCAGTGCAGAGTCAAGTAAGTAGGAAAGATATGTATATACAGTGCACATGTGTGTTGTAGTGTAGTATGAGAATGTGCACAAATACATACATAAACAAATAAACAACTAAATCAACAACTAGATATGTATACATATACATATATATATATATGTACGTGCATGTATTTGTATGTACGTATGTAGACCTATATATATATATATATATACACAGATATATGTATATTCTGTTCTGCGCTGTTCCGGGCTTCTGGGTTCACATGTCGACGCTTGAATGTCTGGATGGTTTTCTGTGGCGTATTCCGCTATAGTAAGGTGAGACTTGCGCAGACGAAATATCCCTAAACCCTAAACCCTAATCCCTACTAACCCTAAACCCTAAACCCTAAACCCTAAACCCTAATCCCTAATCCTTCGAGGAGCCCAGTACAGACAATCTCGGATTCGAGCTTCACCTTGGGGTTTGGGGCTTACGGGTTTTCNNAGTCTCCATTGCAGCTCCTTTTTTGGATTACTTCTCAGATCCTTAACATAAAGTTGGTTGAACCCCAAAAAAGGTACTACAATTCCTTAACATAAAACTGGTTAAACCCACAAAAAAGGGAACTACAATGGAGAC